ACAAGAATGATTAAAATAGCGACCTATGTTCCCATTGACCTTAGCATCCAACGTGTAGATGCCACGGTCTTTATCTAGGTAGCTTAGCAAAGATGTGTTTTTACTTTCAACTTTTTGTTGAGTATTTAACTTAGATAATTCATGTTTTCCATCAGTTTTTGTATTTGTATTTTGTAAATTCTTCCGTAACGACATTCTAGATTCAAACATACTCATTTTACTCTTGATTGCCCAACTAGGATTAAACTCTTCATCATCTGATGAACTAGTATAATCTTCATTTTCATCTTCGGGCTGGACCACATAACTTTCATATCCATCTTTGATCTCTTCAACTGCCTCGAGAAAGTCCAAATCTGCTAGATATTCGCCCCAGTTTAATGAAAAATCATTATCAGCATCTTTCTCTGTGCGAACCACTCCAAGATATGTACAAACAAAACTACCTTTGGGAATATCAGTGAGCGTTCTCACTCCCCAGCCTTTTTTTTCAGTTAAAAACAGTTGCAGTGACGTCTTCAGTGGTTCCTGAACAACACGATTTAAACAAGTTTTCTTACATTTACAGTTGGAATTACATTCAAAAATACCCGTGATTACTTGTTTATGTAGCCGTTTGGAACTGTAGCCAATGCCGTCATGGTCTTTGAAAATAGCGGGATAATTTTTTGGACCCTCGTAAGTAAGTTGCCAACAGGAACATTTATTTTTGTCTTCGCAATTATCAATACAATCGCATCCACATAAAAATTTGGGGTCTATATTTAAATTAACGTTAGGGCTAGTTATACGTTTTGTTATATACTTTATGTGGTCTGGTACTAAGTCATTAAAACTGTTGACAACGCTTATTGGTTTAAACTCCATCTCATAAGATATGTCTTGTATACGAATAAACACTTTTGGTACTGTGAACCAAGATAGAGGATTCACCAAATAATCAAAATTAAATAAGTCCATTGTCATTTGGCTATTACCATAACTTGTCAGTTTCAAGTAATTGTACATTTTGTTTTCATCTTCTATATTAAGCCCGCAAGGAGTGGTATATATTACTTTTCTTAATTTTAACTTTTCGTCTGTTAATATAGACCTCGTAAATCCATAATGTAATGGAATGGTTAAAACATTCATACTTTTTGTTTGACTGTAGTCATAGTGAACCCATAACATACAAAAATGAGAACACTCGTGGTGCTTGTAAGGAAGCGGTTTTGGACAGTTTGCTGGTATTTCAATTGATTTAATTACACCATTATTTCTGTGAGGTTTTTGAGTATTGTCACTGTTGTCAATGTCAACACTTTTTTCATTTTCAGTTAAATTTTCTATTACAATATATGGTCGATTTAATAACTTATTAACATCAGTCAACACTGTACCACGTACACGCTTATCTTGATTGTTACTATTTAATTGATTATACATTGGGCTTAACCTGTTTGAGCCCCGATACATCCATTCTGTGTGTTCGATCTTCATATCAAGAAATTTTAACTGTACTAATGATGCATCTAAGTTTTTCACTTTGGCTGAACACCATAAGTTTCTTAGCTCTGTGCGTACTACTTGTTTTTTATTAAACTTCACCATAGGCCGTTCTGGATAGTTCCTTAAATATGTCTTCACAAATTCTCGAATATTTTCATGTACATCGTCGCATACATTTGGTGACTCACCACACACGAGGCGAATATTTTTATGGTAAGCATACTGTGTATATCCATCATCAAAGAAAATCATGTACCTAAGGCAGATCAAAAAAGTGTTTTATTATAAGCTGTGATAATTATATAGGTTAGTTATTTGAGAAAATTGTTAAGCTGCTCTTTGTCTGCTTTTAAACAGTACAACATTTTTTAAAAATATGAGCAGTAGGTACAATTTTTTTTCTTTAAATTGACACTAATATTTTTCAAAATATCTTTCACTGTCTCATAGGTAGGATAAATTATTGTTATTTGATATTAAATAAGATTGTTGTTACTATATTATTTTATTTAAATAATGGGATTATGTAGGTATCTCCTAATAATAATAAATTACCTAATACCTAATATTATAAGTTTCTTTTAAAACCGTTGCTGATTTGTTTAATGTTTTTAAAATATTTTTAACCATTTTTCAGTAAATTGTTGAGTCCTTCATTAAAGTTATTACCTCTATTTTATTCAATTTAAATTTTAGGTTCTATGACATGACAGACATTATTATGGATAGATAATATAGATATCTTGCATTGAACCGTAGGTATAAACCGATTTTTTATATTAAAAACCTGGCAACAGAGACTAACATTTCATGACTTCCTATAAATTCATGGATTGATATTTTATTTAAAATTTTTTACTGTTAAAATTATTATATGTACCTATATAATTTAATATGCAAAATATATAACGGTGTACATAACTTGGTTACAGATGGATAAATTAACTTAGTTATTAAAACATTTGGAAAGAGATAAGTTCTAGTCTAGGTAGGTACAAAACTATTTTTTTTGTTTAGAGTTTGTCTATTATCAAGTATAACAAATGGTCAGTAATTTTAATATAATATCTTCCGGTTCATCTTCCGGTGCTGACTAATCACAATAGTGATTAATTATATTTAATTTTATACTTATTTATTTAAAATTTTTTTTTGTTTCAAGTAGGTAGTTCAGTTGATCAAACATAATATATTTATACTCTATTATATTTATGAAAATAAAAACTATTTTATATTTTATTTAAAAAAAATAATTTTCTAATAAATACTCAATAAATAATATTAGGTATATTATTAAATTCAATATTATTAGTCAATAATAAACTTTAAAAAAATATGGGGGTGGGAAATGTCCGCATAAAAAATATATTGGGGGGAAAATGTCCATTTACCACAAAGATTACCTACTCTGTCCAGTGAGAGAACGCACTGAGCACCAACCAAAACTGGTTCCCCCCCATGAAACACATTGCCATTGGGGAACTGGTTTCGGTAGCACGGCAACATGAGGGAATGCGCATTCTCTCGCTGGACAGGGTATACCTACCTAAATTATTTATTAAAATGTATTAAACATACCTGAAATTGTTGTATTTTTTTGGTGGTTCTCCAATTACTCCTACATAGAATTTATCCGTCAATTGAATGTTCATATCTTGGAATTTGGCGATCACTCTACTGCCTACTGGATACTGTGCGTGGCTTGCAGCATCTATGTATGCTAAATTTTTATAATTCAAAACTTTTTCCCCCCCATCGTCAAATAGAATATTAAAATATGTGTCACTAACTGCTGATTTAATAGTCGCCTCAATCCACGGCTGCATTTGTGAATGTTTCATCGCATACACTTTGTCACCCACTTTTAATAAGTGTCTTATTAGTAAGCCTTCTTCGGGTAAATCATCCGGCAATCCAGGTAACGTCTTAGTTAATACAATGGATACATCATCATCCAAGTTTTCATGAATACTTATCTCTGGGTCAAACTTAAACTTCCTTTGACTATCAAATTTGTATAAGTTGTTGTATAGTTTTCCGATTGCCAGATCTACCTGATCCACCAAATTGTCTATTTGTTCTTTTCCAGCAACTAGTTTGGCTTTTTTAGAAATCAAATAGCTTTCGCATAATTCTTTTTGTCTTTTGAATAATGGCTCAACAGTATCCTGTATGATTGTGCTCAATGATCTACTCAATTCAGCTATTTGAGGGTCGGGGTTTTCTGTTGAGGGCTCGGTATAATTGTCGACGGCATTATCGTCATCAGAGTCTGATAACTCAATTATAACGGATTGTTTTTTTGGATATCTGTCGTCGAGTATACATTGTCCGTTTTTAAACCGTCTACCAATCCTATCAAAATATATGATACATTTCTGCATACAGGCCCCACACACTTGGCGATCTGGCCTGTAAACGACATTATAATAATCGCACATATTTTTTTGGGCGGCGAACAGCTTACATTTAGGTTTTGATTGACAATTATCATTGATGCACCGACGGTCGGACATATTGCTATTACAACACCAACTACCTAAGTATTCAATTAATTTTGTCAAGAAAACATTAAAAAAAAAAACTCAAAATAATACGTCGGAGAGCAATCGGCACATAGTTATAATAGTGATCGTTGACTGTTGAAAAATAACGAAAATAACTTTATGTTTGAACGGCGTTTGTCCAGCAAGCAACTCAAAACAATATGTCGATTGTCGGAAGTTTGGCTGTTTGGCACGCCGTCAACGTCGTTACTAATTGTTGTTGACCGTTATCAAATATCATGGTAGTATCACAGAATAGATTAAATCTTTAATCTATTCCACGGTCTTATTAATTGGTTTAATACTTGGTAATAAAACATTGGTTTAATACCTTGGTAAGGCTCTACATAAGTTAAATATTGTATCTATTCTGTGGTAATACTCTATGGATCACGGACTAAGATATACAGGACTGGACACGACAAGGTTGGAGGGTGTGGGGGGGTTGACTACGAAATGTTTTACAACAGGCAGTGTTCGGGGGGATATTTTCCTTTTAGCATTACTAGCGCCGTCTTAGTGGATACTTTTGGAACTAGATGACAATAATGTGATCTAGTTCCATAAGTATCCACTAAGACGGCGCTAGTAATGCTAAAAGGAAAATATCCCCCCGAACTCCGCCTGTTGTAAAACATTTCGTAACCACAATATTCATCTCGTGTCCAGTCCTGTATTTCTTAGTCCGTGCTATGGATCCACAATAGACCTATAATGAGTATAATCCACGGCTTTGATAACAGTAAACAACAATCATTATTATCACTAAAAATATCGGAACATTTGTGTACAAACTGATAACCCAGAATGTAGTCGTAATGAAAAATGATATTTTTTTCAACTAGTATTTATACTGGTTTTAGTTTAGTTGACGTGTTTATAATTAATAAAAATTAAGTTGTTGTTTATTGTACATTCATAGTTAATTTTAAGTACAGACTTATAGACTATAGTTTAAAAAATATGTCTTCGAAGAAAGGGTTTTTTTGTATGAATACATTGAAACAATTTGATGCATTTGCTAAACCATTAGAAGAAGTTCAAATAAAAACTGTATGGGGTGGAATAGGTAAAAAATGATTATAATTTTATATTTATATATATCATTTAGACTGTATAGCAGTGTAGTTACACACCATACAATTGTAATGCCATATATATACATATTATATCTATCTCCGTTATATTTTATGCTTTGGTTTTAGTTGAATTAAAATATAAATGTAATAATATGTATCAACATGTATGTTTGTTTTCATATCATTGTAAATTGTTGCAAAATATTAACAGATTTTTTGGTTATACAATTAAACGAGACTGTCTGATAGTTTATAAGTTAAAAATAATTATATTCAAAGATGTTACCTAATTATATATGTTTCAATAGTCGTTAGGCTTGTACACAAAAACAATTTCGGGGGAGGTAGTTTGAACCCCCAAAACCCTCTCTGTATATATGCCTGATAGTCATGCACAATTACTGTAATACTATAATCTTTATAAGTTCCAAGTTATTATTCACATTATATTAACACTTTCAGCGCCAAAAACGTATACATTAAATCGGATTTTTTTTAATAAACACTGAAATTAAAATAGGCCATTGACAATGAACTCTACATTTAAAGCTATAGGTGGTTTTAGTTTTTGTTTTTTTCCGTTGTTTCTGAAATCACGGGCGGTTTTGAACGTGTTAAAGAAACATAATCTTAAAATATATCTTGTTTTTGTTTAAACTATTTGATTAAAAGCTTAATGGTAGTAAATTTGTTTATGAATAATATGACAATTTTTAATTAATTAGTTGATACTAAATTTTCATTTCATTATTATTTACATTTTTTTGTTCAAGTGTTTATAAATAATATGTTATTTATTGATTGTAAATTTGTACAACTGATTAAAACTTATTAAATGTTGAAATGTATTTCAAATGTGTGGTTTATATTATTATTAGTAAAACATTTACTTACTGCTAGGAATAAACAATAATAGTAAATATTAAATTTAAATGTGTTAGGTATTAAGGTACCTATAATTATAAAATGTTAATCTAAAATTGTAAACTTAATATCATCTGTTTGATATTTTAAAATCACTTTCAGTAGTCTTATTAAAATTCAAAGCATAAAATATATACATTAAAAAAATACTGGTTTATTTAAAATTCAAAATTACTTTAATGATATTAATTATGTATTGAAATTATGAATAATTAAATTTTGTTTATTTTCTTTTAGTTTCTTTGGTTTGTTTTCTTACCATTGTTTTTTTGATGGTGTCAAATTTAGTTGAATATCTTGACAACACTCCCACTGAAGAACTTTTTGTTGACACTTCGCGAAATAAAAAGTTACAAATAAATTTTGATATTGTTGTTCCTAAGATATCTTGTGATTGTATGTATTTATTTCATTCTTTGACTGACATTTACTTGTATGTTTAAATCAATTTTTTTTTTAGTTCTAGTTTTAGATGCAGTTGATAATTCAGGTGAAACACATCTGCAGGTTGATCATAATATTTATAAACGGAGATTAAATTTAGAAGGACAACCAATTAGCGATCCTGAAAAATCTGATGGTATGATTAGGTTTACATTATTGATGGTTATATCTATTAAGTTAGGTGAACATATTAACTATTTAGTACTAACATTTTATATATTTTTGGTTTAGATGTTGGCAGTAAAAAAACATTAAATGTAAGTTATTTATTTAAAACATTACAATTTCTATATTATCTAAAATAATCATAAAAAAATCCTTTAATTTGTCTATTACCATGTTCATATTTATAGTGATTAAAATATTTTAAAACAATTATATTGAAACACAATTTAATGGTATTAAGAGGACGTTATACCCACAAGTGTTGTTTTTATGTTGTCTTACACACAATAGGAAATATAACGTTCAAAAGAATCCATTGTATTCTGTTGTTTTTAAAATTAAAGTGAATTTAACTACTATCAAAGTTAAAAGTCAGAATATGATAAACGGAAATTTGTAAGGTTTTTTGATATTTTAATTTTGAAGCAAGTTATGAGCATTTTAAAATTTACATAAAATGTGTCATGTTATATTATGTTAGTAAGACAGAAGCAACACATGCGGGTTTAACATCCTCTTAAAGAAGATTATATAAAATATTTAATACACAACTATTAAAATCAAAAATAATCTCTAATCATGATTATTTTTAGTTCATATTAAAATTTAAATTAAAAGTACTCTTTTGTCAAATAGGGCAAATAAAATAAAAATTTAACGAAAACTGTATTTAATCCAGTTTTTATTTAGAGTTAATACAGTATACAATACTTTGTTTTAGTCTACATCTATGTTAAAATCAAATGAAACAGATAATGCTAATGATACTGAAGCACTTTGTGGAAGCTGTTATGGAGCGGAAAGTTCAACTATTCCGTAAGTAGGATTGAAATATTTTATCAACTCACCATAGACTTAGGTATTCTTAATAAAATTGATTTAATATTTATATTTTTTTTTTTTTACTTATCTTATTATAATACGTAATAATAAGACCCCTCTACTAAGAATTTAGAACATTTCATAATATTATGCAAGAATTAATATTTAAAAATATTTATTATTTAGGTGTTGTAATACATGTGATGATGTTAAAAGAGCTTATAAAATGAAAAATTGGGATTTCCGTCCTTCAAGTATTGAACAATGCAAGAATCAATCATCTCAAAATGAAATGTATGACAAAGCGTTTAAAGAAGGTTGTCAATTGTATGGTACACTACTGGTAAATAGGGTAAGAAATAAAAACTTGACAAATGTTTATTTTATTATAAATAAGAATAATCTTATAATATAGAATAATATACAATTATTATATTAATTATCTTTTAGGTTAGTGGAAGTTTTCATATTGCTCCAGGAATGAGTTTTTCGTTTAACCATATGCATGGTAAGTATAATATTATAATAGTTTCATATTCATATTCATATATATATATATATAGTTATTAAGGGAATCTCAGTGCACTATTTATTTTTTCTCTGTCACTCACATGCAACATGGACAATTTACATTTAGCAGAACCAACCATGACTTGTGTTGTTACCAGTGGCGTTTTCTCTGGGTGTGCAAGTTGTGTGTTAACGCCCTAAACATTGATGTCATACATGTGTGTAATATTGTAATTTGTAATTCATATTAGTATATTACCTACATGGTTATATAATTTTATTGTATTTACAAAATCTTAAAATAATTGTCATGTAAAAATAATAATATCAAATAATAAACTATTGTCTATTTTAAGCTCTAAACTCGACCATGCGCCCGCGCCGTCTGCAGCTACGACGCCGATTACGGAATAATATTGTATTATGTTGTGTTTGTGTAGGGTGTAGCAGTGTAGGACGTTAATGATTCGAACAACGACTTGTGGTATCTAATATCTCATATTCGTAATTTGTCGTGATATTTTCGGATAACTTCGGTGCCATGTTAATACTAGACCAAGTCGTTGAAAATGAAATTAACGACTAGCCACTACTCACTAGTCACTAGTCTAGCGCTAGCTTATACGCTGTGTTTGGACCGTTAGTGGGGATCGTCGCGGCTGCACGTTATCCTGTTTATGTCGCAGCCCATAGGTACTATACTGCAAGACTGCAACGCCGATCGTCGAAAACATAATAATATATAATAAATAATTTTAATAATATGTTGATTATTAATAGTTGATACGAATTTATTTCCCATAAGGGGGGTTTTCCTAATTGTTTTCCTCACACATTAACGCCTAACGCCGAAAGTCAGGAAACGCCACTGGTTGTTACTCATAATAGAAATGTAAATTCACCTATTATCAAACTTTAAGTTAACAACTTTATCTGTGTCACTACTCGCTACATTGGTTTTTTACAATATTTTAATTTTTTTGCAATTTACAAGCATTTATTATTTTTAATAATGTACACACTCATAATTAGAGCGTTGATTTTTATGCACTAAAAAGTATCAAAATATGCCAATAATATGCAGTTAAAATCATGAAAATATGCACTAATATGAAAAAAAAATTTGCAATTAGTGTCAAACTATTAGAAATTGTAAAGATTACTGACAAAAATCTCGAAAATGTGAAAAGGAAAAATATGCAATTGCATAAAAACCTGCACTTTACTTATTACTTACATAAAAATTAAAATATCATAAAATAGCCAAAAAAATTTAAAAAATATATTTTTCAATATTTCAAGAAGGATGATAATTTCAAGTTGGAAATATTTCAAAATGAAAATTTTATGTGAAATATGTCATACTTATTACTCTATAATATATGGATTCACTCTAATACTAAATGTAACATAATAAGGTATAATATAGGATTGGTTCTGCTGAACGTAAATTTGGTATGTTGCTCGTGGGCCAAAAAGAGAAAATAATGGTGCACTGACAGCCTCTTAATAATAAAAACGAAAGTTGATTTACCAATTATATTATAATAAAATAGATTATATTTCTATTAGTTTTCAAGGATTTTGTATTTTTTATGCATGGGTCTATATATTATAATATGTTACATTATTTTAAATATGTTTTTATCTTTTTGTTATCTTTTATTTCAATATTATTGCTTATTATTTTACTAAATTTGGATTTTCTTTTTAGTTCATGACGTACATCCATTTTCATCTTCATCGTTTAATACAACTCACACTATAAGACATTTATCATTTGGTCAAAAATTGGAATCAATTAATACAAGTCATGGTGGTAATCCATTGGACTCAACTGAATCTACTGCTGGAGAAGGTAAATAATACATCAATTTAGATTTTAGTAAAAAAAGAATTATACATTCGTTCAAATATTTATATAATAATATTTATTTCTAATAAAATTCTATGAGTATTGATAAGTTAAAAAATAATTAACTACGAGTAGATTAAAGTAGTTATTATTAAATTTAATAATATATGCAAGTATCTTGACACAACGTCTTCGCTCAGAATCATTTTTAGTATGCAATGATTTATCATTATATTCAAATTTCAAATATAACACATCCATTACAACGATACGCTCAATAACTACTGTACAGCAAAACGGTAGCGTGGTATCCACTCATACACTTTTTTTTAAACCTTTGTCCATAAATACATTTTTGCTTAATCAAAATACTCATTGTACCACCTTTTTTAAAATTTAAATAAGACTTTATCATTTTGAATATATATAAACAAAGTTTATTTATGGTTTTAAAATTAAAATATAATTTGAAATTTGAATACACTTGATCTAAGTTTAATATGTGTTAGTGTTAGTTAGATGTTCTTATAAGTATACATGTAGTATGTTACATTAATATATTCTAAATATTAAAGAACATAATATTATTTTATTTTTATTAAATTCCTTAGTAATTATTTTTCTTCTAAAAATATATCAATTTTGTATTATAGTTAAATTGATTATTGGAACATAATTTATTTTAGATTCTGAGTGGAATGATGAATGTATTGATTTTACAATGATGTGTTTTTTTATTTTTATTTTTGCTTATGTCATAACCTTTTAGGACAGTAAAAATGCATAGATTTTCTTCAACAGTATTTTATCTGTTAGGAAAGTGAATGAATCTACTTGATACTTTGGGGTGTTAAAAGTAAAAAATTCCTAATAGTTTTCAAAAGCGCAGAGCAAACCAAAATAAAAATAAGGAAAACCAGGAATATTTACGCAAAATCGGTTTTTAACAAAATGGATTTTGGTTTTTTGGTGTACCTCTATGCAATTTTCACTGATTGTTTATATTAACATTTTCTATACACTATAAAATTTTCAAAAAATTGATTTGTTTTGAACGGTTTAGGGATATTTTCAGTTTCAAATTTGTTTAGTTTATTTTTCTATGAATGTCAATAAAATTGTATTTGTTGGGTAAAAAAGCTTGACAATATATATTGTTACAATGATATTTGAAAAATATAAAAGATCCAGTCACTATTTTTTTTTTATAAGTATTTAAAGTTCCAATCTTGACAATATAAGTAAAAACAATAAAAATGTGCAAATTATATTAAATAAGAAATTCAAAAAAATGTTATTTTGAAATTTAATACAAGATTCCTCATAAACTTGTTAACCTTTATCAAACAAAAAATGTTTATAAGAAAGTAAAATTAAATTTTTATGAGCATTTGAAGTTCATATTTTTACAACATTGGATATTCACTGGATTTCTCAATAAGCAATTTTCTTATTTTGTTGTAATTCAAAAGCGAATGACCGTATACACTTAAAATTTATATTGTATGTTTATTTTATCAATTCCTATACTTGATAAAATGTTGACTTGTTTTCATTGATTTCAACTTTGACACTATCCATTAAAGGTCATCCACTTGTAACCTACTGTACAGCAGAGCGACACCCACTTTCCCATATTTTTAAATTTAAATTTTTAATCCTATTGTAACGAAAAAATAGGTTTTGAAATAACTATCTATAGTATAGGTATTTATTATGTAATCTAATAAATATAATTTGAACACAAATTAATAAAATTGTTTTTACCAAAATAATAAATCAAATATAGTATGTAACTATATAGTAAATATTGCTATCAATTTTTTATTAATATTTTGTATGACTGCTAACCACGGATTAATCCGTGCTGCTAACAAACATAATGAATTTAAATAAATTCCACTTGAATGTTATTGTATTTACTAAACATGAAAACCAACATGATATATTTATTTATCATAAAGTATATACTTGTATGATTTGTGGTTTCAGACTTGACTGTTACTGTATATAACTATATAATCATACTATAATCATTTTGTACATATTATAATCATATAATATCTAAATATTAATATGTAGGTTGATATTTAAAAATTTTCTTTAAGGGTGTTGGTATACAAGTTTACTTTGCATCGGTCGAAGCATATTTTTAATATTTTTTCAATATATTTAATATTAAAAATTGACAAATTTATAAAATTTAAGATATTTATTCTCATCAAAATATTGCTACAGTTGAAAAAGTACTTTTTTACCGATTCAAAGTAAAATTGTATACCAATTCAAACATTTTAAATTTAACAACTAGAAATACCTTAATTTTTGCTAGTTGCTTATTCCTATGTTCCACTTGTGTTAGACAAAGACAGCAAATCGCCGCATCCAACGCCTTTAAATTCTATATCTCACTTACACGTTGATTGTTCTTTATTAGTAAAAATTACATAGTATTAGACTACATAAATTCTTTTAGTTCATTTTTCATGATTAAATGGAATTTAATTTCTTTGTTTTATAAAAATGAATGATATTTTTCAAAACACAATTTTTACCATAGGAATTATTTTATTGATTTAAGGGTATAAATATTTTTTTTATATAATTGATTAAGAACAAACTCTTTAAGTTTAAAATCATGTACTTACTAATTTTAATTATTTCGATCAACTAACTGGCTCAATTGCAATAACGCACATTTTATGTTTGTATTATTGTATGTTTATGTACATAATCTAATTGTGATGAATAAGAAATCAACAAATTAAAATTAAATTAAATACTTAATAAGAATATATATTTGCTTTTAAATAAAAAAAAAAAACATTACCAGTATAACTTAGTTCTACTCTTAATATTTTTAGTAAAATTGGTGACTTGCTAATATACTACTATTCACTGGACATTGATGACAGTTTAGTATTCTTTCAAACTTCAGTGGTATAATTTTTCTAGAGAAGGGGGAAGAAAAAAGAATTTTCTTTTAAGCCTTGACTTAATTTTTCAAACTACTATTATGTTGATTGTCAGAATAGATTGGATGTGAATATTTTGAAAAAAAGTTAAATATATAATTTTTTTCTCTATAATATTTTTCTTAATTAATATTATTCTGTAATTTATTTATAGTATTATTGTTACTTATTATAAGTTGTTACGCATTTAAATTTTGGTTTGTAGACGGATTTTTGACTATATTAATATTTAACAGTACGATCAATATGGGTAGAAAAAACTAAACAACTACCAAACATGTTTATTATAATAGACATAAAGGTGGTTGGGGGGGTTACCTATATTTGAAGAGGAACTTTGAGAGGAACAAAATATAAATTTTTTGTAAAATAGCCATTCAAAATGTTGCCGTTGACTTGAAAAATATGAAATGATGCCAATGTTACACTTTTTAATTATTTAAAAATTAGTATTATCTGACTTACAACTTTAAATCTTTAATAGGATTTTAATGAGTAAATGTTATTTATGAATATTCAATTTAACCAAATATAAATTATTTTATCATAATTGATATATAAAAACTAATATTCTAAACAATAATGTACTCTTTATTGTAGTTTGTATCAGAAATTAAGTTTTACACAAATAAAGTTTTAAAAAAGAAATGTATCTAATAATAAATAAACAGTTATTAATCAACATCTAAGGGCAGCACCAACACCCATAAACGTGCCAAATGTTCCGCCACTCTGCAACATAGTTTTTCCCATACTGCCAACGAGCTCTCGGCCTCTGTATCCTGATCTGTATTGAATAATAATGGCGTTTGGAATTGCACAATATAATTATAATGTAAATGTATGTAGAAAATACCTCAAGCCACCCAAACCACCGAATAGAATTCCAATAGTTATTCCGATTGTGGCTCCCATCATAAATGAAGTGGATACTCGGTCGTAACACGATGGTTTACCTTGACCTCCGTACAAACTTCCACTCGGCACTGGCATTTTTTCGTTTAACGATTTGGAAGTTTTGGAAGTAAAAGAAATCTAAATGATCCTCGTTTGGTCGTATTGTTGAAATTTCCATGCAGTTTTTTTCACTATTAATGTTATCGTACATTATACGCGTCGTTATCACTTATCAGCAGTTATCACTTCTAATGTGGGTTTGTGTACCATACACCTAGGTCTATCGCGTTTACGCCGATTATGCGTTAAGGTCCCCTACACACTGCAGCCACAGAACAGCCGTAACGGAACGATTTTACCTCGACCGTCAAGCCCGGAGAATTCTACCGCCTCCGCCGCAGTGTGTGGCGACCTTAAGTTGTTGTTAGACGCAATGTCGCGACGAAGAACATACTAATGGAGCAATACTAATAGTGATTTAACCAATAAGAGTTTTATTAGGTCTATGAATTTTACAATTTATTTACATTTTACTTCCACCCGCATGTGTTGTCTCCGTCCTCCACACGTACGACATGGCAAATTTTCGTTCGCTAGTTTTAATAGGGTGCTGTCAGTTTTGACTTTAGATATTAGCAGTGGCGTATTTACGATTTCGGCGCCCCTTTTTTTCTCAGTTTCCTTTTCATCATCGTCACAAAAAACTTTTAAGCTCCTTCTAATTTACAATTTACTTTTTCTCTCGGTTAATAGTGCAGGGCTTGAAACCGGCAGAAACCGTTTTAAAACCGAAAAAAAAATGAAACCGGTATTAAATTCAATACCGACACGAAAAAAATTGGATATCTGTATTATAATTAAAAACCGAAAATATAATTTAAAAAAGGTGGGCAAGTGGGTGTCGCCCTGCTGTACAGTAGGTTACAAGTCTGCCACTGTATAATGGATAGTATTAAATTTGAATTCAATGATATAATATTATTGTATAAGAAAAACGATTCTGAGCGGAGACGGTATGACGTATGTCAGTCTAGGTATAAGACATATTATATTATACATATCTATGGTATTAAAAAAGGTGGGTAAGTGGATGTCGCTCTGCTGTACTGTAGGTTACAAGTGGGTCACTGTATAATGGATGGTATTAAATTTGAATTCAATGATACAATATCATTGTATAAGAAAAACGATTCTGAGCGAAGACGGTATGTCAGTCTAGGTTTAAGACAAATTATATACATATCTATGATATTAAAAAAAAAATTGACCTATAATAAATTCCAAATTAATCATATCACATTATCACAATATCCATTAGGTACTTATAACACGTTATACATCAACATCAATAACAAATCCTGATACTATCATTGATATATAATAGTAAACTTTAGAAGTTTCAAGTAGGTACCCATGAATAATATTATATAATCACAACAAAATAACTAGGTTTTTTAATGTGTAATTTCGTCCAAATTTGAACATAAAATGACTATAAAAATAAACTGTTATTGTATATTTTTTAGATTTTTTGGTAAAAGAATTAACTACTTACGTGGAATCTTGTTTTAAATTGTCTATCTTTAGCTATAAAAACTGATTATTTTATAATTTATTAATTACGATGATTAATAATTTTCGAGATTTTGAAAAATTCTGTTAAAATTCGATGTTTAAATGCTTATAAAAAAAAACTGTGCCTATGTATTTTTAATATTTTTCAACTGATATTGTAACAATATATCAGGAGCCTTGTATTAAATGTTTACACTTTTTGGCCCAACAGATAAAACTTTATTGATATTCATAGAAAAAAAACTAAAAAAATTGAAAAATGAAAATATCCGTGAACAGCTCAAAAAGAGTCAAAATATTTTCAAGATTGTATGGTGTATAGGAACTGCTAATATAAACATTCAGTAAAATGTTCATGTATCTACAGTCATTCGCTTTTGAATTACAACAAAATAAGGAAATTGCTACATGAGAAATCGAGTGAATATCCAATGTTTTAAAAATTTGCATTCAAAACGCTTTTAAAAATTTAATTTGACTGTCCGGTAGAGATTTTTTTTTTGATAAAGGTAGACAAACTTATGAATAATCTTGTATTACAGTTTCAAATCTTAGATTTAAAAAGAATAATTTTTACGAATTTTTAACTCAAAATAATTTGCTAATTTTCGTGATTTTTCCATATTTTGTCAATTTATGAACTTTAAATGCTTAGAAAAAAAAACTGTGACTAAGGATTTTTAATATTTTTCATCTGCCTTTGAAAAAATATACTAGGAGCCTTCTATTAAATTTTCAAGCTTTTTAAGCCAACAAATAAAAATGTATTGATATCTTTAGGAAAAAAACTAAAAGAGAATGGAAAATGAAAATGTCCCTTAACAGTTCAAAATAAATCAAAATATTTAGAAAATGTTATATAGTGTATAGAAAATGCAAATATAAACAATCAGTGAACATTTCAAGTGTCTACGGTCATTTGTTTTAAAGTTACACCAAAAACCAAATTCAATTTTGTGAAAAATCGATTTTGGGTAAAAATTCCCGTTTTTCCTTAATTTTTCTTTTGTTAATCTTGTCGCTTGTGAAAACTATTGGGAATTTTAAATTTTGACCTCCCAAAAGTACCAACTAGATTCACTTTCCCATCGAAAAAGTGACTGAAGTTGAAAATCGAAGCATTATTTCAACTACTAATCGTGTACACAGACACAAAAAAAAAATAAAAAAAATTAAAAAAAACACACATCAGTGTAAAATCAATACATTCATCGTTTCACTCAGAATCTAAAATAAAAATGTTTATAATTTCTAACTCAAAATAATTTGCACATTTTCGTGATTTTTACGTGTTTTGTCAAGATTTAAACTTTAAATGCTTATAAAATAAAATTGTAATGGATTTTTAATATTTTTTAAATGTTAATGTTACAATATATTAAAAGCCTTGTATTAAATTTTCAAGCTTTTTTACCCCACAATTTAAATTTTATTTACATTCATAGAAATAAAAACTAAAAAAAGTGGGTCACTGTATAATGGATGGTATTAAATTTGAATCCAATGATATAATATCAATAGAAATAAGATATAATAATAATATATAAGAAAAACGGTTCTGGGCGGAGATGGTATGTCAGTCTAGGTATATGACGTATTATATACTTATCTATGGTATTTAAAAAAAAATTTACCTATAATAAATTCCAAATTAACCATAAACCGTGATACTATTATAGATATATAATAGTATACTTTAGAAGTTTCAATTACCCACGAATAATATTATACAATTACTGCAAAATAACTAAAATAGTTATTCTAGGTTTTTTAATATGTAATTTCGTTCAAATTTGAACTTAAAATGATTATAAAAATAAACTGTGCTTATGTGTTTTTTAGATTTTTAGGTAACAGAATTAACTACTTACGTGGAATCTTGTTTTCAATTTTTCAATCCTTAGATATAAAAGTTGAACATTTTATAAATTGTAGCTACAAAATAATTATTCAATTTTAAATTTGATAAATTACAATTTGAAAGAAGAATTTTTACGAATTATTAACTCAAAATAATTTGCTATTTTTCGTGATTTTTCCATATTTTGTCAATTTTTGAACTTTAAGTGCTTATAAAAAAAAACTGTGACTAAGGATTTTTAATATTTTAAAATGTCCCTAAACAATCTTTTTTTTTTTTATTTTAAAATTTGACCTCCCAATGCACCAACAATATTCACTTTCCCATGGAACAAGATACTGAAGTTGAAAATCAAAGCATTATTTCGACTACTTATCGTGTACACAGACCCCCCCCAAAAAAAATAAATAAATAAAAAAAACACTCATCATTGTAAAGTCGATACATTCACCGTTCCACCCAGAATCTAAAATAAGAAACTGAAAATGTCTGTAGACAGTTTAAAACAAATCAAAATATTTGTAGAAAAATTATAATACCTATAAACAACCATTAAAAATATAATGTACCTATCTACGTTCATTTGTTTTAGAGTTTTTGCCAATCATTTAATTGGTATTCTAACATTTTAATTTTAATTTAATTATTACTTTTTTATGTTCTTATCACTTAGTCCAGGTTCTTGGTGGTTATACTAATCATACTATGTATCTTAATAATATTATGTTGACATGTATGTAAATCTAATAATAATAAATAATATATAATAAATACTTATTTAAAGACTGGGAATATAATCCTAATTTATTATGTATGTAAAGTGATCATACATTTTTTGGGTTCTTATGCTATAAAACAATTTATACTTATCACGTTTGTATATTTTTAAGCTTTACTCAGAGTAGCTTTTAGAATGTCTATTTTTCTTTTATTAATGCATTGAAAGAAAAACAAATATTTGTCTAAATTGTATTTTTAAGGTCATATAATCATATAATTTTATATAAGTCTTATATTTTTAAAAATTGTATCTGTATTGTATAGGTACTGCTGGTATAAATTATATTTGTAATATATTTTTATATTATATTATTGGTATAAATTATATTTTAAATATAATATTCGGTTGTATCTTACAAACATAACTTATATATTTACAAATTAACTTAAATCCCTTACTATTGCCTATAAGTTATGAGTAATTACTAATTAGTAATGAATTTTTATTTATCTTCTAATTGCTTAAACAAATATGAATAACATTTTTATTTTTTCCTAAATTATTGAGATAATACTTAATATAGTTTTGAATAAATTATATTTTAATTAAAAAAAATAATTAAATTATATAATTCTAATTTTAAATGTCTTGTTTATTTTACTACTTACAGGAGCAACAATGTTTCAGTATTATATAAAAATTGTTCCAACTCTCTATCAAAGAAGAGACCTTTCAATATTTTCTACCAACCAGTTCTCAGTGACCAAACACAAGGTATATATATAATTTTTTTTGTGTTGAGTATTGACTTTACATTATGTATACACTATAATTGAAAACTCTTTGGATGGATATTATATTAAAAAAATGCGTAGGTATTTAGGTTTTGCAATGGTTAATTTTATTCATTGATTATTTTATAATATAACATTAACATTTGTATAATTTAATAGGTCCAAGCATTCGATAAAGGTCCATCAGGCGCCCCTGGAATATTCTTTAGCTATGAATTTTCGCCTATTATGATCAAGTTGACTGAAAAGCCAAGGTATGTTCTTCAATTTTTAAAAGTTTAGGTACAGCATACACTTAACATACTTTATTTGTTATGTACATACCTATATTGCAATTGAGCATTGTATTAATTATTTGTCTTGTATAATTTAGGTTACTAGGGCATCTGTTCACTCAGTTTTTGTGCAATATCAGTGGAGTTTTTATATGTTTTTGGATTATTGATATATTTATGTATAAAGTATCTAAGGTGTACAATATACGCAAGAAACAATTACCTAATTCTAATAACTAAAACGTATTATTTTCTGTAATATCAGTGGCATGCTTTAGGATATTTTGGTGAGTGGTTTAACAACAGTTGATCCTCTAGATTTTGTTTTGCAACATAATTCAATTTTCATATAAAATAGATAAAGTGGAAAGGTGAAAGTTTTTGTACATGTGACTCTCGTACCTTTTCAGTATGGCCCACAATAAATATTTATTCCTTCAAATGTTATGAAATTTATTTTAAAATAAAATAAAATAGTTATTAAACAAACAAATCAATATGTACATCTTTGTAATACCTAGTATTGAAAATAGTTATAATATAATAATTATTAGAATCAATAGAAAAAATATAATATTTTGTTCCAATTTATTTAGGATTTAGTATTAATATGAGGAAAAAAAAGGTTGATATTATGTCAGCACACTATTTGTTTTCGCTTGATTTAAATTACCTTTTTTCTTTTCAAGGCCTCTATTTTTCTTGCATTAATAATACTTTTTTTCTCCAAAAATGTCTCCTTAATAAAATATTTTTAATTTTGTACTCTAAACTCTATTCACAATGAGATCATTACTCGGCGGTGACCAGTTTTTGTCGGGCGGCGGTCAGACATATGGTGAGACACCGTCCCCACTATGGCAACGCTTCGGGCGCTGCTATGAAACAAAGCCACGCCCTCGCGCACAACTAGGCCGCCGAGTAATGATCTCATTGTGATTAGAGTATAGACAGGTTTAAAAATGTAACTGTATGAGATTTAGATGTGCTTTTTCGTTTATGTTATTGTTATTATTATAATTATTATTTTAGTTTTATAATGTTAAAAGTGGAGATACTATAATATTATCAATGTCAGAATCTCATTAAATAATAATAATAATAAAAATAAAACTGAGGAATTATTTTTGTTTACAAATGATGTTAAAAATACAGCAATTAACACCTAACTAAAATATGCCACTGATAAAAATAATAAAATACAATTATTATATTGAAGTTTATTTAATAAAAAAATTCAAAAAACATTATGTCTATTTATTTATGTAGTATATTTATCACAAAAATGAAATTATTTTCTTTTTTTATTAAAAGTTTTACTTTTAGGACCTGTATAAAACTTAGGTTTACGTAAGTTCTTAGGACCCTTTCTGATTACACTTAGCCTTTCTTTTTTGTGTTTTTCTGCTTCTATTTCAGCTTTCTTATATTTCTTTTCCTACAATAACAGTAAAATATGTCAATATACAGTGAAGTATAACAATTAATAATTACTTTGCATGTACCTTTTGTGTTGAAAATGTGAACTGCCGATTACCACTTGACAACATTTTGACTGAATTGAAATGTTCTGAATTCATTCTTTCACCCAATGTTGCACTAATATATAACAATTTTATAATTTTAATTATATAATAAAAATTACTAATTGGTAATAATTGTTTTAATTTATTAGATATGTTACCTAGAATTTTGAATAGAATTTGATCTATTACTATTGGATCCAACAAATTCTTCTCCTTCTTTAATTTCATAGAATTTTGGTGGTTTAATTGCTCGTTCACTGTGCACACTTAAATCGTTATCATCACTATCATTGTCATCATTACTATCTTTTTCTGATTTATTACGTTCCTCACGCTCAGTTGCTATTCTTCTTCTTTTAGCTGATCTATATTCAGATTTTAATTCTTTAGCCCATTTTTGGTCATCATCTGAACTATATTCATCACTACTTTCTTCCGAACTAGGTTTTCCTTCAATTTCATCCTACAAAATTGTTTTATTATGTGTTACAATAAGTTAACATTTATTTTTTATGGATTATTTTATTAAAATTAATAATGTTTACTTCAACTGGATCGAATTGTTTTTGAATTTGTGATTCAAGTTCCTTTTGCTTAGATTTATCTAATCGTTTCAAAACTGGATTCAATAACCTATAGATGTAATAAAATGTAATTATAATATACATAGCATTATCAATACTGATACTATTATTCATGTGTTACTGAAGTTAATTATATAAAATTAATTAATTTTTTAATACTTAATAAATTTAATTTCTACAATTTATTATTTAATAATATCAAAAATATATATTACTTGTATTCTTCAGCATTTGTATCAACTTGGAAAGATGGGTTTTCAAATAGCGCTTTAAACCGATCATCTTTTAATAAGCTAACAGCATCTTTGGATTTATTATTTTTCTTTCCTTCTTTTTCATCATTAATTAATTTCAAAGCAAGTTCTTTATTAACAGCAGGTAATTTCTGAAAATATTGAAGTTATATTAGTATGTACAAAATAGTTAAATTATTATCATGTTAATATTTTTTATACTTGAACTTGGACACGATTGGTTCTTTCTGATTCAATTTTTTCTCTTATCTTTTTCCTACGATATTCTTCATAAGCAAATGGTTCTGCGACAGATTTAGCTTTTCTGTACAGTCTGATGTCCACAAAATATCCATGCATATATGCTTTTAACAGGTTTGTTCCTAAAAAAACACATTTTTGATGTTATTATTTCATAAAATGTATAATTCAATAAATTGGAAAATGTATTTTACCTATTAAATGTGATAAACCAAGTTCTTCTAATTCATTCCGAGTCACAAATTTATAATCATCATAGACAGTTTCTTTTTTAGTTTCCTCTAACTCCTCAACTAAAGCATCTAAAAATCCACACCATCTTGGAGCTGGCCCCAAGCTCTAAACATGCATAGACACATATTAGATTTTTATGTTAAGCAATAAGAATTAAACTATATAATAAAAAAGGTTATAAAAAACCAACCGGTATGTAGTGTGTTTGAATTTTTGTGTTCTCATTAGCAATGAACATCATTCCGGTTTGTGGAATAACACAGAGGTTATTAAATTGTGTATCATTACCAGATTCAAGAGCAGCAAATAATTTACCCTGTATAACCAGATATATAATACACGTCATAAATATTTTAATAAAAATATTAAAATTTAATTATGAATTAACAATACTCACAGTATCCTTGTTCCATATTTTTACTGAAGATGAGTCCATAGATAATACGTTTTCCTCTTGGAATGCAATATCTCTAATAGGTAATCCAAACAAATGATCTTTAACCCTAAATGGTTTATTAGAACGCAAGTCATATAAAAGTATTTGGCCTGTGGCTGTACCAACACCTAATGTTAAAGCATTTTCAAATGCTAGTGCAGTTATAGATGGAAATCCGTCAGTACTAAAATTAAAAAGTTTACAGTTATTCAATAACAATGATTCAATTGAACTATAAAAGTTATTATTTAGCTTACGCAATATTCGTGTCATTTGTAACTGAGCTTAGAGCACAATCTAGGACTCCAATACTGACATGAGCTCTAGGATCCCATGCTTCAACTTTTCCTTCCTTAGTGCCAGATATAAGCATATTATGTACAGGGTTTATAGCTAATTTGTTAATTTCATCACCAGCACTAGATGCAAATGGATTCAAAAACTGCCCTCTATCTAAATTTAATCTATAAATATCTGAACTGAAAAAAATTAAAATCAAACATATTATTTGTAAAGTTAGGATGAGTGGAAAGTTGTATGTATTATGACAATAAGTATTATAATTTATTATAAAAATAGGTAGGTAGGTATTATTATTTATCTCTATATATAGAAGGATAACGTGACTGATCTATAAACGTACAGCTCAAACCACTGAATGGATGAGGCTGACATTTGGCATATAGATAGCTTTATGACGTAGGCATCCCCTAAAAAAAGAATTTTTTCGAAATTCAATCCTAAAGGGGAAAATAGGGGGTTGTAAGAATAAAACAGTGGAGCTATTTTTTCAGTAAAATAATTTAAAATTTCAGTTCAACATATTTCCTTAATTTTTATTTAAGAGGATGTCAAACCCGCCATATGATGTCTTCGTCTAATATATGACATAGAAAAAACACATATGCATAGTTTGAGTAGAACTCGCTCAATTTTGGTTCAAGAGTAAAAATACCTAAAGAAAATTAAATTGTGACAATATTTCTGAGGGCAAGACTGTGAGTTTTTTATATTATTCCCAATATAATTTTCATTACCTATATCGTTTAGAAATAGCAAAAATGTCAACATTTTTAACCTTTCACTTTTCAAAATTTAAATTTCTTAAAAAAAAACACCGCCTCGTCCAACAAAATATTATCATCTTTTAATTTTGTAATAGGTGTTTTTATTCTGGATACCAAAATTGAGAGTTTTACTCAGAGTGCGTAAATGCGTTTTGTCTCTGACGTACGTGTGTTAGATGAAGACAACCTGTTAACTGATGTACGAAATTTAAAATTGGAATTGTGGTTTTTCATTGTGTGTACTGCTTGCATATTGTCCGCGGAGTTCCTTCCTAAGTTGAAAAGTAAATCAATTACCTTGAAAAGACTGCCTTGCTAGAAATTTAGACTAGGTTTTTGAATTTACACTTCTTACATACAATAAAACACTGGATATGCGACGGCACAAAAAGCATTCAATCCACCATATAAAAATTGCATATATATGTAGTAAGCGACTTACTACGTAACATTAAAACAATTCCAATCAGGTACATATTTAGCATAACATACTGTAGATAGGTAATAATCAGATATGTCAAACAAAAACTAGTAACCTTTTCGATTGTACTTAATCAAACAAACCATGGGGAGTATAATGCCCAAAACGAAAGCAAAAACAAATTTACGATTAATCAATTATTGGCTCAAGGGGAAACAATATTCAAAATAATACCACAACAGATTAGCAAGACTTTACAATCATGTAGAATAGGCGGATGTGATATTTGCAAATATGTGATATCTGATCATTTTATATGACAGATATTCGATATAAAAAAATAGAGTATACAGTATCACTAGGCAAGGGGAGCGGGACTATAAGAGGCACCCTGAAATGGTCTGTATTCAGACGTGTTCACTCCACTGAACTGAAAGAACCTTCACTACACTTTGTACAACATAATTGTAATTTGGAC